CAATTTGGTGCCAACTCCCTTTGATAGCAGTTGCCAGATCAGCTTTGCAGGATGAGTGCTCATCAAAGACTGGTGATTCCATACTTTTTGCCAGGGGTTGTACCATCTAAATATTTTTGGAATTTAAACATAWGATAAAACATGTTCTTATTCCATTTTAATTGATTCATTGTGTATCGTACATGCATGTCCTGCATCCGTCAGGAAGAGCTGCTGCACCCGTGACACCCCTACTTCCCACAACCTTGAATTTGAGAGCACTTTTTTTTTCTTTTTGGGTCACACTTTATTTCTGTGGTTGGACAGGAGAAACAACAAATCCTTCAGATTTTTATTGGTCTGCGTGGCCTGTTTCATCACATCAGTTCAGTTCATGTTTACATAATGCAGGAGGGAAGAAAAACAACAAAAAAAGCTGGAAAAGACCAAACCAATCAAGAAGCAGTCTTCATACGTCGTCCTCRTCCATAACCAGTGTGTCGTCGTCTGCTGCAGCTTTGGCTCGTTCAATCTTGCCCTTTTCTCCTTGGTAGTAGTCTGAGTCGAGCCGGGCCGGCTGCTTGCAGATCTTTACGAAGACCTCCCCACCTTTCTCTGTGACCGTGTGGGTCCGCTGCTTCACCCCCTTGGAGTACCATCTGAAGACAGGCGGCTTCTCCAAGGGGTTCTTGCCCCGGTACAGCCCCTCGCCCTCAGCTAAAGAGATCTTGTACTTGTGCTTCGGACATATTATGCACAGCTTGCCATTAATTTCCTGTGCGTACGTGCGTGTGTTTGTGTACGAGAGGACATGTTTAAAGACAGAAAGCAGAAGGTAATATGTTAATGTTATGCTAATTTGACATCATAATTAACTGCTTTTTTTATTGTCTCAGCCCAGCAGTTGTTTGTGTTTAAACATGGAGAGATTAACAGCAGTGGGTTTTTTATTTGGTGTCAGAGACAAAAGAATTCATATTTTACCTCAATGTCTCCATTCTCCAACGTGCTCCCAGCATCTGTATGAAGGATAGAAGCTTGTTTTATTGGAGAATAAACAGTTTAGCTGCTGTCTGTGTGCAAGAAGTGGTAAAATACTCAAGGGTTCAAAAAAATCCTTTAAGTCTTTACTTCAAAATTGTGATGCTATAGTGAATAACGCAAAAAAAAAATCATTAAAGCTTTTGTAAAACGTGAATTGTTGAAACTGACATATTTTTTGGAAACAGTAATTATCCATCCATCTATCTATACCTGTTTCTTCTTTTCAGGGTCACTGGTACCCATGTCCATCAGTTACAGTGCGAGGGGCGGGGCACACCCTGGACAGGTCACACGTGCATCACAGAGACACACATAGAGACAAACAACCATTCACTCTCTCACTCACACCTAGGGACAATTTAGAGTTATCAATTAACCTACCAGTCATGTTTTTGGTCTGTGGGAGGAAGCCGGAGTACCCGGAGACTCACGCATGCATGGAGAGAACATGTAAACTCTACCCAGAAAGGTCCTCGAGCYGGGATTTGATCTGGCAACCTTCTTGCTGAGAGACATCAGCTCAGTTGGTAGAGCTGATATTGAAGAGATTAATACATTTTTACCATTTGTTGAAATAACTGACAGCTTTTAGAGGAAAGTAGGTGTTCTTATTTTGAAAACTTGTATTTTTCTACATATTCACACACTTATAAACCTTTTCTGACAGTGTTTGTTTTATAGGTTCTATCTGTTACTGTAATATGAGCAGACTAGGATTTAGATTAAAAATTGGCAAAGATTTTCTTTACATATCCATGCTGTCAGAATGATGAGTCTCCACAAACTGTTTTTTTTTTTTTTTTTACTTTGTGTTGATTATAATCAAGATAAAGCAACAATCATGGCTTTGAAAAAAAAAGACAAATTGCTTGCTGCTTACCTGACTCTGGGTATTTCCCAATTTGGTGCCAACTCACTGYATAAAACTTAGCATATTTTTCAAAAATGAAAATATTTGGCCATGTAAGCCCTTTGGAAATGTAGCTCTGTGGAAACATTATGAACAAAGAATATCTTACCTGTTGCAGTTTCATAGCTTTTTGTACAGTTTCAGTTCGGAGAGTCTCGGCCTGAACAGACTGATGAGCTAATGGCTAATTTAAATGTTAAGACCAGATCATCCTAAAACAACTTGTTTCACACAAACTGYGCTTTAGAACAGGCTGCTGTCTGTTTCACATYACAGTTATTTACATAGGKTATTTGCGAGTGCATCGTTAGCAGCAGCTACAGAAATAACCAACAGAGTGGTGTAAAAGTTTGTAGAACAGAACCACTATAGAAGTGGGTCTGCTCAGACCAGCTAATAAAGTTGTTTTATTTGTTGTAAAATAAATTTGCTTCCATTGATTTAGTGATGTCAAACCAGCAAATATATTCAGAACTTTTTATATTTTGCCAAATTGAATCTAATGCCTGCTACGTCTATAGAAGGCATATAGTGAAACAAAATCTGTGAAACTTTTCTGAAAGATTAAAGACATTTTGCCACTTGAGAATTCAATACTCACGATAACAGTAACAGTCGATGGCGTAGAACACCCCCTGATGGTGGATAATCAGCACATCTCGACCCTCTATTGTTCTGAAGGAGCGCTTCGCTTCAATCAGTTCATCCTTCCTGCCAACAAAGTGAAGATCTTCTGCCGGCTGCTCTTTCTCCCCCATGGCTCTTTGAGTAAATCTGGTTCTAGAAAGGGAAAAAAATCTAAATTCATCATCATTTCTACATGTATGTTTGATGAGAGCTGCCTTTGCTTCCTAACTTGTGGAAAGTAACGTTGCTTTTGGATTTGTCAACAGGATTAACGTGCTGGCGCCTCACSTCTCAGTTGTCATCTTAAGTCTGCGACACCTCCAGAACGTTAAAAAAAACCACATCCTGACACTGAGCAGCTCCTCTCCCCACATGGTAAGACCTGCTGCATTAATCCCTAATAACTACCTCACGATTATAAGACGAAGAATCCAAACAGCAAGTTTGCAGCGACTCCGGCATGCGACCTACATGAAGCGGCACACTCAGAATCGAGGAAGTGATGTGAACTCGGCTGACATCGTTCAACTCAGAGGCCACAGTTCTACACCATAATCTTCATGTAGGCACTGTGCACCGAAAACATCCAGAAGCAGGGATGATTCATGCAGAGCAGAGCACATTGCAGGCTGAATAAGCACAGTGGTAGCAGCAAAAGTCACATCATTAAAGCCTAAGGCAAAAAAAATAAAAAAAATAAAGTAATAATAAAACAGCTGATTGTTGAGAAAAAGGACACAAAACAGAGCAATAAATAAATAAAATAAAATATGATTAGGAACCAAAATAAAACCTATTTAAACAAGGCTGTAAAAAMCTAAAAGGCCAATTTTCTAAATTTTATTTAAGTAATATGTTTATAGCCTAAGGCAAAAAAAATAAAAAAAATAAAGTAATAATAAAACAGCTGATTGTTGAGAAAAAGGACACAAAACAGCAATAAATAAATAAAATAA